GACAACTATGAGAAACTGCTTCTCTCCTTCCATCATGTGGGTTCCAGGGATCAAATTCAGGCCGACCATCTTGCCAGCAAGTGCTATTACCCACTGTGGTGGTTTGAGTAGGAATAGCCCTCATAGACTCGTGTGTTTGAATGCTTGGCCTGTAAGAAGTGGCACTATTAAGAGGTGTGGACTTTTAGAAGAAGTTTGGCCCTGTTGGAAGAAGTCTGTCACTGTAGGGCATCATTGAGGTCTCTTATGCCCAAGCTACACCCAGTGTGGCACACAGTCTCCTGCTGCTGCCTCTGGATCAAGATGTGGCTGTATATTATACTCAGTGAGTGTATTAGAGGGAAACACACATACCATGGCAAACTTGTAGAGGTCAGAGGATAGCCTGGGGCAATGCCTTCTCACCTTCTGCCATGTGGGACCCGGGATTAAACTCAGAGCATCAGGATGCCTTTCCCCACTGAGCCAGTTCGTCAGCCCTCGTGGGACTTTACACCATCCCTTACTTTAATGAGTAAGCTATACTTGTGGAGAGATGGCTGATGTCACCTAAATAAGAGATCCAAGTTGACACCGGGGAAAGTGGCAGCACCTGATATGCGTGCCTGTTACAAAAGCTTCCACATACACTCTGTCACTGTGTCATCACAAACGAGTCTGACATCACCAGGCCCATGAGGACACCATTGTGCAGTCCAGCCTTGGAACACGACAGAGATCTAGACTAAAGGATGCACCCTAGGTTCCCTTTTGATGATCCCATGACTCCAGCCCCTTGATTGTTAGAAAGAGACAGCAAGCTCCAGCTTATCCAGTAAGACAGCTGGGTGTGACCCTGCCCTGGAATTACCATTCCTACCATTCCTGGGCCTGGCCCTAAACTCCCTCTGTTCCAGGCTGACCCTGAAGTTAGAAATCTGCCTGCCCCTGCATCTGTCTGACAAGCTGGCTCATAGTGCAGCTGCCTCTGCTTTTCTAGGTTTGCAAAGCTCCTCATATAACTCATATTGCATCCTTATAGTTTGCATAGTTGAAAAATCATGAATTTTTGAACTCAATATTTTTGGCATTCTTTCCCACAGTCTTAAGGGCTGTCCTGAAGATTACAGCATTCTACCATTTTGCAGAGACATTTGACACATCCTCACCGACCCTGACCCATGCTGTCTCTGATTATCAGGAAATCATTACCCTTGGCAGAGAGGACATTCCTCAAAGGAGGAACGTGAAAATATGTACACTATTATACAAATGCACTATTATACTATGCCCACAGCCACCATCAACACTCATGGAGGCCTGCTGGCTCTGTTCCAAGGACGGGCTACACAGCATTATGGCCCTTATATGGCTGAGCAGAACTCGACCCAGGATGGCCCCAAACTTGTGGTGCTCCTTTTGCCCCAACCTCCCACCTGCTGGCACTACAAGTGTTCACACTTTTAAATCTCATAGAATATTCAAAAAATGGTGGAAAAAGGGGATGTCCTTGGAAACACACACTGCCAAGCCTGAGTTGAAGTGTCATGATAGCAACAATTTCAAGTGGTTAAGGGGGGGGGGGGGGA